AGGACCCTTTACATTTTGCACGAGAGACACGATGGATTGAGAGCCACCCTAAAATTACTTTTGTATGCGTACTTTGCTACAAAAGCGGGCTCTTCTGTTGAAATTTGGTGAATCTGGCAGCACAATTAGTATATCGTTTACAATGGCCCATAAATTGGCTGATAGGCAATCCAGACCATTACAGATCATTCCTATCAAATTTCGTGTTCCACTCACAGCAAAGTCGAACCGTTGGGACTTCTGCACATGGTCAACATATTCCTGAAGTGACTTATGTCCTGCACCGTCTGCACCCTCCTCCTTTTTCTTGTTATTATTTCCGTATCCACCGGTGTACGCTAAAACAGAAGCCGGATTACTGTAGCAACATGTCACAAACTAGAAGAAGAGACAAAAATACTAATAATAAAGGCACTGAGGGCAACCTCAAAGCAGTCCGCATTGTGAAAAAAATAAGTAAAATTTACCGGCAACACAGCGCAGTACTACACCCATGTGAAGCAATGGGTCCATCACGCTTAAAACTCGAGACGGCGAGGGCAGATACTGAAAATAGAAGCTTTGATTTTAGAAAATCAAGAAGAAGTATTACCTGGAAAAGAAACGGAGTGTAAACTGGTACGATCCCATCCGGTTTCTTTTTCACGTCCAACTCTATAAGCCGGAGATTGACAGACATGATCAGATTACCGCCAGCTGAATCTCCGACCATGCACATCTTCTCGCCTGTCCATCCTAAAACAAAAATCTTCAGACATCAAATACAATAAAGCAAGAAATTTCTTTCAGTGGATACGTAAGCAAAATCGCAATTTGACACTCACCTACTAACTGCGGATTGTTGACGATCCAAGCGTATGCGAATAACACCTCTTCAGTTGGTCGTGGAAATGGATTCGCTGGTGCTAACGAATATTCAACAGACACCACCGTACAACTAAGAAGTTTTGCCCACATCCGTAAATACGTCTAAAGCAAATTGCATGATGTACTCTTTCTAAAAAGCTGTATGATACAGCACAAACCTCGTGGGATTTACTCGAAGTTGCCACATAACCACCACCGTGACAATGAAGGACAATATATGGCGAAAGCGGTTGTTGATTAGGACTACCCGTAG